ATGTTTATTAACTATTATTCCTTTATTAAAATAATATAGCTGCCTTAATAAGAGGAATAATATTGTATAATTATTCCTTTCCTTAATTAGCTGGAATAGTCTAATAGATATTCTAGTTACTTATTTTATAATGTTATAAGAGGCTAGGTCGTAATATTATACTAGGTTATAAGTAATATATATAAATATATAGTATTAGTGTTAGTATTTCTTATAATAATCTTTATTATAAAGTATAAATTTTTTTATTTATATTCTATAGCTTTATAATCTTTATATTATTTTTTAAGTTTAATTAAGGTATATTATTTATATAATAGTAATTTATAATTAATAATATTAGCTTTATTATATTAGTCTATAAGTAAAATATTATTAATAATGTAAATAGCTAATTTTAATACCTTAGCTATTAAGTATTTATTTATATTAATTTTAATATATTTTTAAAATCTTCTTCCTAATACCTAAATTCTATTATAAGCTTTAGTTATATTAATTTTTAAAATTCTTCCTTATTATTTAAAAAGTTCCTTAAGTATAAGGTTTATTAATAATATAATATTTGAAAAACTATTATAATTTTTATTTATTTTAAAGTTATATATATAATATTAATTATTAAATAACTTATAAAATCTATAAAGCTTATATAGCTTATTTATAAATAACTTATGATCTTTATATTATATAAAAAAGTATATATTAAAAAGAGTATTAATTTATTATTAATATTTTTTATTAGTTTTATAAAAACTAAATTTATAAATTCTTCTACTTTTATTATAAGTAATTTTATTTTTATTATTATTATTTTCTTTATTTAAAGGCTTTTATCTATAGGAATATCTAAGTCCCTAAAGTTTATATAATCTATAATTTAAGTATAATTTACTAATATTAAAGTTAGTATATCTTATATTATAATCCTATATTATAATATTATAGTTTTATTATATAATTCTTTTTTATTTTAATTTTTAAAGTACTTTTTCTTTTTTATTAAAGTTATACTAAAAATTCAAAATATCTTTTTTTTATTTATTAAGGTTTTATTAAATAAATTATTTAATATAGCTAAAGTCTTTCTAAAAGACTTTCTTAAGTATATTTAGGGTTTATATATACCCCTTAAGGTATTATCTTAATCTTTTTTTATTACTATAATAAGTTTAATAATTATTATTATAATATACTAAAAAGTATAACATATTATAGTTTACTAAAGGTTTTATAATATTAATAATTTAGTTTTCCTTAGGTATTAAAATAAGTATAAATTTTTTATTACTATTTTTCTTAAGGGCTTAATAATATTTCTTTATATATCCTTTTTTTCTATAGTTATAGTATTTAATATTTTTATATTATACCTTAATAATACTAAGGTTTATTAATCTTAGTTAATTATTATTTAAAAAAGTAATATAATTAGTTAGCTTAATTTTATTTAGGTCAAGCTTAGAAGTTTTTAATTTTAGTTTATTTTTTTTCTTTTACTTATTTTTATTAATAATTATTTATTTTAATTACTATTTATATAAAGTTAATAAAGGGGATTAAGTATTTTTTTAACTTAAAAAGTTTATCCTTAATATTATCTTTTATACTATGATAATAAATATCTTTTTTAGTTTCCTTAGTTTAATTAACCTTAAATAAAAGGTATAAAAAGGTAAATATATACTTACTCAGTAGTCTTTTTTATTTAATAAAGTAGAGTTTTTATTTAGCTTTTTATTATTTATTTATAGTACTAAAGGAATTTTAAAGTTATATTTTAAATTCCTTATAATTAATATATATTTTTTTAATTTATATTTTAAGTTTTTTATAGTTATTTCAGCGTTTATTATAGTTTTATTTAATAAGTTAAAACTAAGATTTAGTATTTTTTATAAGGTAACTTTTTATAAAGATAACTTATTATTTATTATTTTTTAAAATATAAGGAAAATATTTAAAGTATATTATAAATTTTAAAATTTTTTTATTTATTTTATATAGGTTTTTATTAAAGGGTTTAGGTTTTATTAACTTAAAAACTTTACCTTTTTCCCTTAAATTATCTTAAAGGTCTTAAAACTAAGTTTTAAAAACTTTAAACTTAGCCTTTATTTTATTATACTTAGCTTAAAAACTATTTTCTTAATTAATATATTTTTAAGTTTAATATTACTATTTAAATAATTACTTAAAGTTTAACTTTTATAATTAGTATTATTATTAAGTATATTAAATATTAATATTTATATCTTTTCTTATTATTTTTTATTACCTATAGGTCTAAGGTAACTATCTAAATAAAAGTTATTATTATAATTTTTATAATAATATTACCTAAGGTTTAAGGTAATTATTTAAATAAAAGTTATAAATATATAATAAGTTAAGCTTTTATATATTAATATAAAAGGAATTTCTAAGGGATAAACTTTATATTAAGTTTATATTAGTAAATAAACTAAGCTAGACTAATAGGTAATTAATAAAGATAAAAAAAATTTATTTGTATAATTAATAAATAATATTTTATAAATATAATTAAATATTATTTTATATTTATAATTAGTTATTTAAACTATTTTAAATAAGTATAAAAAAGGTAAGTTATATATTTAGCTATATTAGTAAAGTTATTTATAATTATATTAATTAAGGATAACTTAAGTTATATATAGTTATATTAACTAGATATAACTTTAATTTTATTAGTTAGGTTAACTAAGGTTAAGCTAAGCGTCGTCTACCCTAGAGGTTTGTTATTATAGCTATAAGTATTAGGCTGTGATACTATTATAAAGCTAGTTTTATTAAAGTTATGAAAACTATTATTAAGGATCCTATATTTAGCCTTTATATTTTATATAAAAGTAAACTAGCTGCTAATATACTTTAGATCTTTATATTTAACGCTTTAATAATTATATTTATAAAGTTAACAAATACAAAGCTTTAGTTAGCGCTAAACAAAGTTTAATACCTAATTTTTACTAACAGGTAGTATATTGCGTATATATAGTAGATAATTAACTATTTCTTTAATACTACGCAATCTAGGAGGAAATAATAGCGTAGATAGCTTAATTATATACTTAATAATAGCCTTGTTTTTTAATTTTATAAGCTTTTTTAAATTAGGTTTTATATTATATTATGCAAGTGTATTAGCGCAATAGTACATAAGAGTTATACGGTTAATATTGTAGACCTTTGCTACAGCCCTAAGACTGAATTTTTGGTCTTTTTGAAGAGATTTAAGGGCAAGGTAATCCTATTTTCGTAAGGAAGTGATGCCATAATGTATTATGGAAGAATTAAATAAATAATAGTAGAAGTCTATGTAATTGTAAAATGTGGCTTACTCGCTTAGGTGGCTCACTCGCCTATGGATTACGTTATTTTATTATATATTTTTATTGATATATATATTATATATTATTGTAAATATGAAATATGAGAAAATCATAAGTACTTGAAGGAACATAATGAAAATGAATGACTAATCTGCATTGGCCATAAAGGGCATCGTTTTGGATGCCCGTTAAGCTACGATGGATGCTTGATAAGCTGTCCCTTTTTATAGCGTTGCAGAGCGCTTGGGATGCAGTGGCTAAGTATTTCGATTTGGCAGGCTTTTTGCGCGTTCATCGCATAAGGGAGTCGGTTCGAATCCGGCTAGGGTATCCCTTCTAGCTAACCTTCCCCATAAGACACACAGCCAATAAGTAAGCCCCGGCTTATAAAGACACAACAATACTACAGAGTGCTAGCCTAAAGACTACACCAGGTGTTTGCCCTCCCCTTGTAGAGAGGGGGTATTTCCCTTATTCTGGCGTGCTTGTATAAAAATTATGTGTCTTTTCTTTATCATGAGAAACGAAGCTAACAGTAGAGGTCAACACCTCCGGCTATTGGTTGATAAGCTTGCTGTCTAGCTAGGCCGGTCTCGACGGAACAAGTCTACGTGGAGGTGGCTAAGACCTCGTTGACCTGGCTCCTTCCAACCTATCGCTCAATTACGAGACGTGTTTACCTAGTTAAATACTTATGGTCGTTAATAACAAAACGAACGAACGAACGAACAGAGCATTGGCAGAGGTATGGGTTCCCTTTATAGTCGACAATAAATGAAATTGATCTTCGTAAATAATTTGATGCATAATTTCCATATGTTGAAAGCAGTGCTATCTAAATGTGGTGGGTTGCTTCAACCTTGCTTCGAGAAAAATAAGTATTCTAGTTATAGAGCTTAGGCAATTCCTCCCCCAAACGCAATTCCACTCCCACACTCGTTTGGTTTTTTGTCAGGGCAAGAAATCTTTGAAGCAGGCCCTGCGCCTCTACCGTAGCGGTCAATCTGATGAATTCACTGGAATCAAATCTGACCTGATCTGCCGTCGGTCCAGCAACCAAGTTCACTGCGGCTTTGATGCTTGCTAGTGCACCTGCAGGGAACAGAGCAATTCGATTTGCTAGCTGATTGACGTACTTGTAGAGTTCCTCAGAGGAAGTAAATGCCTTGTTTACTAACCCATATTTTTCGGCATCTTGGGCATTGAAATCCTTTCCAGAAAGGAGATACTCCATAGTGCGTCCACGTCCCAAAAGTAACGGCATGAATGAGACGCCGCCAGCGCCTAAGGTAAGGCCTAGTGACACCTCAAAATTTCCCAAAATTGCTTTTGCAGATGCAAAACGCATATCACAAGCCATAAGGAATTCATTGCTTATGCCTCGCGCCGGGCCATCGACAATAGCTATGGATGCTTGTGGTAATCGAGAGATATTGAGCAGCAAATTGCTAGCAAAATAGCTGTCTGGGACAGGGGGCGGGTTTCCTAGTCATAAATTAGAATATGTCAAGTACAATATCCTGGTACACGGACGAACCAGGTAGCTGAACGAGGGGCGTGACATCGAGGTGTGCAGCAAAAAAATCCCGGTTCTTGCTTCGGAATAAGACTACTTTAGTAGCGCTATCATTTTGAAGGGCAGTAACAAGACGGTCAAGGTCATCTAAGACATTCAAACTGATCAGATTCACGTTGCTGGCAGTGTTGTCGATGGTGACTGTTAAGATCGACCCAGATTGTGAAGTCTGGAGTGTCGTGAAACCCTGATTGTGAAGTTCTGTCGTGGCTAAGGCTGTCACAGCCGAGACAACGGAGAAAAAAGAAATCCCCTTCATACTTCCTATGAGATTTTGAAGTTAAAATAACCAGGAATGATAGTATTATTACAAATGAGAAGCCATTAGGCTACTTGTTAAGATATAAATATGCTCCCACATTCAGGCCACACAAAGCCAGGACTAACGACTTACAGATCAAACCCAGCCCATATATTACTTTCACAGCCCTCTAGTGTAGAGGCCAATAATGTCATCTTCGCCTAAAATCAATGATGTGGAATCATCAGTCGTGCGTCATGCTCAATACAGCAAGGTCTATTTACAAATCAATATGATGTAGGTTTTGTAAGCCCATCGGTTGTGGGGTTTTGACAAAAGACAACCTTGGTCATTTTATCTGCGGGCATTCGGTGCGGTAATTCGGCGCATTTACCGCCAAATTGGGCGATGTGACAAGCTGACCCAGGACTAACGACTTATAACTCAAACCCAGCCCACATATTGCTTTCAAAGGCCTCTAGCTGTAAAGGCCAAGTGCATCATGCTCCATACAGCAAGGTCTATTTACAAATCAATATGATGTAGGTTTTGTAAGCCCATCGGTTGTGGGGTTTTGACAAAAGACAACCTTGGTCATTTTATCTGCGGGCATTCGGTGCGATAATTCAGCGCATTTACTATAGGATTTACAGTGCGCGCATAGCTGCTATGTCGCTCTATCACGTATTTTGAAATAATACAGTCAGACCCATCAATCCTTCTTTTTGAATCTGTTAGCATATAGGCATACAGCAGGTACAGAACAGTAACGAGATTATCTTAGAAACGCATTTGGCTTGTCGAATTTCTGTTTACACGATGGAAGCCATCTGAAAGGTTACACCAAGACAAAGTCCCCACTGCGGCGCGGGACTACGGCGTGCTTTGCCGTTCCTGTTTTATCAGCATTCTTGGGAAACTGGGTCATTATTCGTTGGCCGGATGTAACCACCATCAAGGTAAAGGAAAACAGGAAAACACGGCTATCTGCCACTGGAAATCAATATATGATATGCGGCGGTGATTATCTTCACCCACTTGCCCCTATCTAAGATAAAATTAAATCGGAGCCTCATCAGGTACCTCTTAGATTCACCGGATAACGCTACGGCAAATCAGAATCCTATAATGCCATGGCACATTGTCACATAGTAATGTCATCCTGGCCGTCTCGGGGCGCGCCTTGTGTAACTCCGCAATCAAACGCCGCACCGCGAGAAAGATGAAATTGCTTACGCCTGCCTCGCCTTCAGCAGGGGAGAATGAAGGAGGGGGGAAGACTGCGCATTATGTGTACAAGTGTCCACTACTTTCCAGTTCTGTCTCTGGATGGAACATCCAGGCTTAATTTCTAGCAGACTTTAAGAAGTATAAAACCCTTCTTAGCCCACGTATCCCAAGATATGCACAGGGTTAAAGCTCGCAGGTATACATCCTCTCCATCAAGCCTCGCGATCGTCTTCAGCTATTTTCTCTCGAAAAAATGATTACCTCTCAAAAAGCTATCGTCATTCAAGGCGCTGGCGTTGCTAAACTAGTAGCTGACCGGCCACTTCCGCCACTTCGAAATAACTCAATTCTGGTCAGAACCGTTGCTGTTGGCCTGAATCCAACTGACTGGAAGCATATTGATGGAGCTAGTGGCCCGGATCCTGGACGGCTCGTGGGGTGTGACTATGCTGGAATAGTGGAAGGGATTGGCCCCAACGTCACCAAAGTTTTTAAGATTGGAGATCGAGTTTTCGGCGCAGCACACGGCTCTAATGTTCTGCAGCACGACGACGGGACTTTTGCAGAACACATTGTTGTCGTAGGAGACTTACAGATGATTATTCCGGATGGCATGTCATTTGAAGAGGCTGCTACACTAGGCGTTGGTCTTGGCACCGTTGGGCAGAGCCTCTACCAGGCTTTAGAACTTGCGCCAACTGCGCGACCTGCCAAGACCGCCGTTCCAGTTTTGATTTATGGAGGAAGTACAGCCACCGGTACGTTATCCATTCAGTATGCCAAGCTGTCCGGATATACTGTTGTTACGACAACCTCAAGTCGAAATTTTGACTTGGTCAGAAGCTTAGGCGCTGATGCTGTTTTCGACTATCATGATCGCGAATGTGCCGCCAAAATTCGCGAGTTTACCGATAATAGGCTAAAGATTGCGTTTGACACGGTTTCTGTTGATGGATCTGCCAATATTTGCGCCGACGCACTGGCTAAAGGATCTAACGTCAGATACCATGCTCTCTTGCCTGTTGCGTTTCCCCGCGACGATGTAAAGACAACCATGTCGCTTGCTTACACAGTGTATGGCCAACCAGTGCATGTTTTCGGAATAAAAGTGCCAGCCAAAGGGGAAGACTTTGATTTTGCTGTCAAGTTTTTTACTGATGCCCGTGAATTGTTAGCAAAGGGCAAGCTGAAACCGCATCCTGCTTGTATAAGACAGGGCCTTGATAATATACTATCAGGCTTGGAGGAAATGAAAGCAAATAAAATCAGTGGCCAAAAGCTAGTATATAAAATTTAGTAAATATATATCTGTGATCCGTGGCCAACGCCGGGTCAGGGCCAGGGTGGGTGCTCGAAGGAACTTGGCCGTTTTTTTCTTCATCCCAAAATAATAAAAAATTCCCAACCACTTAAAAATAAACAATATATATCACTAGATTTCTTATATCCTCTAGACCCAATCAAAACTTTTATTTATGTACATATTTATTACATAAATATTGGCCAGTCTGTTAAAATAAAGATCACCCCCACTTTCTACTTATTATAGAAAGACGCCTTACCGATACGTACCGTGAGAACATCCTTGTTTCTAGTGATTTAATTGGCTTATTGTGACGAACCGCTTTCCTATAAGCCAGTATAGGGTAGGATTCCCAAGGGACAAACGTTGTAAGTTAGGGTAACTTGGGTTTATGTTGGCGGATAGGTCAGGTCGGTTATAACGGGCAATCTTATCACGCAGCTGGTAATAGCAATGATGTGACGATCCGTCATCTCGTTACGCCAAACAGGGCAAAAGATTAGGCCAATAATCACAATTGTAGCGATTATTGTGACGGAACCAGCTATTATAAGGGATCTAGCTGTTACGGCGGACTAGATCGTAACACGATTCTCCCCTTCCAGTGGGCTCGTCCTCAAGCCCTCGCTATAAGATAGGGAACCCTAGCTATCTCAGCGGTCTCCAAATAGCTGCTCTTACCCCCAAGGGCACTGTAACATTCCCTGTAACGTCTTTCCATAGGCCTTGTCAGCAGCGGAGGTCCGATACGATCTAGCTATGTAACAAGCTGGAATCGAACCCTAGGGTTTTGTTTTTTTTTTGTTTTATTATTAACGTCCGTTGTATAAGCTAGTTACATAGGCTACATCTAGGCAAAAGGATAGTAGAAGCCGGCTTACTTAGTTGTTTACTACGTTCTACTTAACAAAGGAAATAATAAAGGAAAATTTTTATTTTAGTTTATATTATATAAAGGGGGGCCGTATAGGTTAATATTCTCTATTAGTTTTTAGAAGTTCTTACCTCTTTTTATACCTAAAAGGTATATTAATATTTTTTCTTTAAAAAGTAGAATTAGTAAAAAAGGTTTAACTATTCTACATTAAGTAAAGTATTTTTATTACTTAAGTATACTTTATTTATACTTAAAGATTATATTATACCTAAGTTAATTATAATAGCTTTAAAAATTACTATAGCTTAATTTTTCTACTAAAAGCTTATATAATATTAGGTATAGTAGCTTTAGTTTTAGCAGGTTTAATAAAACATCTAGTTCCTATTTATAATAACCTTCTAAGGTATTTTTACTTTAGTATTAGTTTTAAATATAAGTTCTCTTTTTTTTTACTTAGTATTTAATATATATATAAGTACTATAGTTAATATATAAGGCTTAAGCAGCAGCTCCTTATTTCATAAGGCTATCTGCTATTTTATTACCGAGGACATCTCTATATCGTAGGAATAAGACATATACCTTGCAGAGAGCTATTCTTATAGTAAGCCGCTGGAACTTAAGGAACTCTCCTTATGATAAGGTGGGGGCCTCCTTTCGTAGCCCGTCCACTACGGATGTGCCGTCTAGAAAGAAGTGTGCCTCACTTACAGACTTGCAAATAAATAAATCAAATCAAATTAACCCTTAGATTTGATTTGATTCAAATATCCTGGCCATGGATTTGATTTAATCTGATTTGACTTCATCGCAATTTGATTTATTTGACTCATTTGACATCATTTGGATATCTGTATGACCCCACTTTTCTACCAAGACGAGATGCACTGAGCAGCCCCTATAATATCAGCTTTCAGGCGACCTCTTTGCGCTGTAACCATTTGTCCCGTGAGACTGAAAATACCCTCTGGCTCGGAAGACATCGCCGGCACAGAAAAGAGATCGATCACTATGAATGGAAGGCGTGGAAATTGACGTCTTCGGAGGAGCCAATACTGGATAGGGTTTTCCACTAAACAATCGCCTGGGTCAGTCGTCGCGATCTATTTAGCATACTTATTACGTATAACAGATGTTAAAGGCAGTAATAGATAGCCACGCTATGAAACTGAAACTGGGGTAAGTTTTAGTTTTATAAAACTAGACGCTTATTTAGTTTTAGTTTTATATAAAATAATATTTAAGTATAATCTAAATCTTTAATAAAGTTTAGCGCTAATATATATATTTTTTATTTTAAAGTACCCTATAGATATTTAGTATTATTTATTACTTATATTACTAATTCCTTAGGCTTACTATTACTTTTTGTTTTTTTATTTATTTTTATTTTTTTTAAAAATATTTTTATAGCTATATTAATATCTTTTATTTTCCTAAATACTTTAGTAAAAAAAAAACTTACTTTTTTTTTAAAAAATATTTATTTAGTTTTTAATATATTTATATACTTTTACTATTTTAATAAATATATTATATATATTTTATATGATATACTATTTTATATGAAAAAAGATTTACTTTATTTTTATAAATATTAAAGAAATATAAGATATATTAATAATTATATAATTAAAAAGTAAAAAGTTTTCTTACTCAGGTAATTTAAGCTACTACTATAAGGTTAATTATTACTTAATTTTAACTTATAAACTTTATAAAACATTATTAAAATTTAATTATTAAAAAGCTTTAAATTATTTATATATATAAAATAATTAAACTTATTTTTTATTTTACTTATTATATTATATACCTTTTACCTTTAGTAATTAAACTTATTAAATTCTTACTTTTTCTTTTATTATTTATTTAATAATTAACAGCTTTTATAATTAATAAATTAAATCTTTTTTATAACCTTTATAATATTATTAACTTAAACTATATTTCTTTTTTATTAATTAAATAACTTTTTTAAAGTACTAAGTAAAAGAAAATATTAGTTATATATAAGGTATAATAAACTAGGTCCTATAAGTACTTATAAGTTATCTATTTCTAAGGGATAAACCTTAGAATAGTTCTATAGTTTATATTAGTAAGGTAGTTAAATTAGTAAATAGATAATTTATTATTAATTATAAATAAAATATTTAAATATTTAATTTGATTACTATAATAATAATTAACTATTTAAGTAGTTTAATAAATAATATAAAGTAAACTTATATACTTAATTAGCTAGGCTAAATTATTAATAAATATTAATAATCTTATTTTAGATTATTTTAAAACTTTAATAATTTATCCTTAGGTTATTTAATTATTTAATAATCTAATAATCTATTTTTAATTAGTTAGTTAATCTATTGTTTATTTAAAACCAGCTACCCTATAGGCCTATTATTATAACTATAAAAGCTAAGTTATAATATAATATTTTATTTTTATTAATTTTATCTTTAAGACTTTATTATAAATAATATATTTTTATATACTTATAATAAACTAAGTCCTATAGGCACTATAGGTTAGCTATTTCTAAGGGACAAACCTTAAAGTAGTTTTATAGTTATATTAGCAAAGTAATTAAGTTAGTAAATAAGTAATTTTATTACTAGCTAGTAATATAAATAAAAGTAAATATTTAGGTTTTAATTTAATTATATTATAAATACTATAATAATAACTAGCTATAGAAGTATTTTAATAAATAATATAAAGTAAATTTATATATTTAGTTATATATTTTAAATTATATTAAAAAGTATAATAAGTTGAGCTCCTACAGAGTTAGTATAAGAGGGATTCCCAAGGGATAAACCTTATATTAGGTTTATATTAGTAGATACGCTAAGCTAAACTAGTAGGTAGTTAATAAAGATAAAGGTTGATTTATATAACTTAGTAAATAATACTTTATAGGTATAATTAAGCGTTTATTTTATAATTATAATTAACTATTTAAACTATTTTAAATAAGTATATAAATAAAACTCATATACCTAGTTAAATTTAAGCTTATATAGCTTATAAAATAAGTGTAAAAAGCATAAGCTTACTAAGCTTATTAAGTAAGTAAAATAAGTATAATAAGCTAAGCTGTCACGACCTGACTCTTATGGTAGCGACAATAGGCCTACAGGGTAGTTAGTCTCGGATAAACAACGGACCAACCAACCAATCAGGAACGGATTATTAGATTATCGCAATAATCTAACGATCTATTAACGAATTATTAGAACTCTAAGATAATCCACAACAGGATCATCTACACTTATCAATAATCTAGTCCAGGTTAACTAAATATATAAGTTCACTTTATATCACTTATTAAAATACTTAAATAGCTAGTTATTATTACAGCGTTTATAATATAATTAAATTAGAACCCAGACATCTACTTTTATTTATATTATTAACTAGTAATAAAATTACCTATTACCAACCTAATTACTCCGCTAATATAAACTATAAAACCACTCTAAGGTTTATCCCTTAGAAATAGCTAATCTATAGTACCTATAGGACCTAGTTTATTATATAATAATAACTCTTGTTCAGACAGTTACCTTAGACCTACGGGTAATAAAATACTAAGAACTTAGTAACCTATAAGCTTTAGAGTTTTAAATAATAATATTAATTACAAAAGCGAAGCTTAAAGTAATTACAACAGTAACATTAAGCTTAAAAATACACCAGCCGAAAATATAGCTAATTAAGCTAATTATAATAAATTAAAGGCCGAGTTTAAAGCTTTTAAAACCTAGCTTTAGAACCTTTAAGATAGGAAAAAAGAAAAAGGTGAGGTTATTAAACTAATGAAGCCTAAACCCTTTGACAAAGATCTACGTAAGATAGATAAATTCTTCTTAAAACTTATAATCTATTTTAAATACTTCCTTTATACCTTAAAAAATAACGAAGATAAAGTTATTTTTATAGGCAGCTGCTTTATAAAAAACGCTAAAACATAGTTTTAACCTATTATATAAAATTACAAAGAAAGAAAGATTAATTTAAAAAAGCTTAAAACGTAAACTAAAAAAATCTATATTAAATATATAGAATTTTAGAAGTAACTTAGGAAATCCTTTAGTATTATAAATAAATAACAAAAGGTTAAGTAAAAACTTTATTTTATTACCTAAAAAGGACTACTAAGTAAGTATACTTTAACCTTCTTACGCCTATTAACTAAAGTTAACTAAACTAAGGAAATAAAAAAGGAAGTCTATTATAATAGTATAAAACCTAAAGTTAAGGATAAACTCTTTAAAATTAACTATAAAAAGATAACCTTTACTAACTATACCTAAAAAGCTATTAAAATCGACAATTATAATTAAAAATAATAAAAAAAACAAAAGTAAGAAAAGAATAGGAACTTTTATAACGTCTAACCTAAGTAAACTTAAGGATACTAAGCTAACTAAGGAAAAAAGTAAAACAATTATATTACCTCTTTTAATAATAAATAACCAGGCCTAATAGACCTTAGTACTATTAAGGCTTAACGTAAGAACGTTAAATACTACAACTATAAAGAAAAAAAATATATAAAAAAGTACTATTAAAAACCTACTAAAAAGATAGGAAATAAAAAATTTACGCCTATCCTAAAGCCTAAGGAAAACCAAGCTATTAATACTATATAACCCTCGGAAGACTATAATATCTTATACTTCTTAATGTACTATAATAATAATTATTAAACCTATTATAGTAATAAATAAAGATTAAGATAATACCCTAAAGGGTATATATAAACCTTAAATACACTTAAAAAAGTTACCTAGGAGGACCTCAGCTATATTAAATAACTTATTTAACAAAACTTTAATAAGTAAGAATAAAATAATAAATTTAAGGATAAGGAAGAAATACTTTAAAAATAAAAATAAAATAAAGCTATACACTAGTATAATAAAAATCTTCTAAATATAGCGCCTTTAATATAATATAACCTTTACAAAGGAATAACTTAAGAAGAAATTAATAACCTTAAAAAACATATATATAACTAATATAAGTTAGTAAAACCTAAAAGTATTTACTATCCTTATAAAATAACTATAGCGGACTAGGAATAATATAAAGACTAATATAAAATATAAGGTATTATTAAAGAAAATAAATACTATAATAAAATTATATAATATAAGGAACTTAAAGATTACTAAAAACTCCTTAAATAATAAAAATAAATTAAATAAATTAATCTAAGTACTACCTACGACTAGATTTAATTACCCAGAAATTAATTTTAATAATACATTAAGACTAACGTAGATAAATACCTAATAGCTAAGATACTAGAATTAATCCTATACTACGTTAATAATATCCTACTTACTAACTAATATAATAAAGTTAATATTATTAACTATAAACTACTATTATATAAATAATATATTATAACTAAGCTTAATAAATAGTATAAGGATTATAAAGCCGCTAAATATAAATAAAAAAAATTCACACTTTATAATAAAGACTGTTATAAGAAATACCAGTACTAACACTAAGCCCTTGTATATGTTACTAATAAACTAGAATAATAAGGATTTAACCTTATAAAGTATAATAACGATAATAAACTATAAGGAATTAACTAAAACAACCTTCGGAAATACCATAAGCTCACCACCAGATATATACCTAAACCTAAATACACCTAGTATAAACGCTATAATATTTAAAATAAAAAACTAAAATAAATCACCTTAGACCTAGATAATATTAATATTAACCCTTACGGTAATAATTACTACAACAGCGCTAATAATATAACCTACTATAACCTAAATACCTTTATAGAAGGAAAAAAACTATAAAAATTCTAAATACCAGGCACCTTAAAAGGATATCTAATTACAATCTATATAAACTCTGGAGCTATAATAAGTTATATTACACCTCAACTAGTTAACCGCCTACAGTTAACTAATCGTAAGAAGGAGAAACTATATACGCTTATAAATATTAAACAGCAGCTATTTACTTATAATAATAGAACCGTTAACCGCAAAACTAATTACCTTAAAATCCAGTTTAGTAAAATAAT